CACACACACACACACACACACACACACACACACACACACACACACACACACACACACACACACACACACACTGAAAGGCTAAATTTTTACATGAGGTAAAAATTAGACTATTTCAAGTTACCATTACTTCTATCAGCCCTTTATTTTTTACATACTCATTTAATTTCCTGACTTATGTAAGTTCTTTAGATTCTCTTTGTTGAACAAGTTATAAAATCTGACTAATAAAAATTTTAACATGTGTATGTTTACTTTTCTAGAAATACTTTAATAAGAGGAAGGAAGGTAATTAAAAATATTGACAATAGAGACCAAAATGAAAGAAAAATGATTGATAAAACTTGCCCTCATATGTCACATATTCAATCTTACACTCATGCTTACCTTGATCATCTTTTTCATTACTATTTGCAAACTCCGTTGAGTATTTGGAACAATCCAGACCCAGAAGTTCCTGCTGCTGTTTTAAAATTTCATCCATCAATCTGGAATTATTTCTTTTGAAAATTCCTAAAAAAGAAAATTAAAAACAAGTAAATCACAAATAGGTAATTTAACAGCTTTTCAATGATTAACAGATGCTTATGAATACAACACTAGATCCATAACTTAACAAGCCTCAAATGAAACAATAATGACTAAACAAATGAAAATATGAAAAACAAAGAAACAACACAAGTTAGGTCGAGTCTGGCTTCAGGCTAAAGCCCAAAAAGGACAAGGGTTAACTACTTGGTAGACTACTATGACAGAAACTTAGACCTTCAAAATTTTTCATTCATAGGAAACTTATATTTACAGACTAAGAAACAGGGATCTAATGTCCTTAAGGGCTTATCCAAAAAATTCATTTCTGACTTCAGTCTAACATTTTCTCTACAGAATTTTTATGTGTATTAAATACTGCCTCAATTTTATTAGTCTTAAGAAGAAATAACTTGAATTATTTTTAAGTTGAAGAGACAAAGTATTAAGACCAAATTTCTGTAAATTCAAAAAAATCACAGAAACCAACTACCTGATGCAGATTTTGATCCCCCAACCATACAAAGTAGCTTAGGATCACCAGGTTGCTGAGAAAAACAAAGGAACTATTTGACAAACATTCAACACCAATTTATAGAGCTCTAATTGGAAAAAAACAAAACAGCCACTGCTTTTTTATCAAATGTTTCTACTTTGTGCTCATACAGGACTTTAAATTAGTTCAGTGCATGAGAGAAGAGTGCACATGTGTGATTTTTGTGTAAAGAGAGAGAATCAGCTGCATACAAATGCCAATCTGGTCATATATATGTGTATATCTCTTGGATGGACAAAGGTTTGTCCAAAGAAGACTTGAGCTGAGGTGAACTCAAAGTCCAAGAAAAGAAAATGGATAAGACATTGTATACAGAAAATGCTTAAGATAAAGCATAGTTTAGAATATTGAGAGACAACTGTTTATGACACAAAGGATATGAGAGGAGCAGTGAGCAAATAGTTATAGTTTTTATTTCACACTGCTTAACAAACAGGTTACCCACAATTTATGAGCAACATGGAAATGAATGGAAACTTAATCCTCAGTTGAATGTTCTTAATATCAGGATAGGAAAAGATAGTCAGCAAATTACTGTAGGATACCATGTGTACGCTGGTGAGACCATGGAAAGGGGAGACTTACCACAAAGGAAGAACTGAGAGGAAAATGGTACATGACTTACTCAGAAGTGAATGTGTAATATCCATAGCTTTTTGTCCTTGGTAGCAGAAAATGGTAACATTTTAAAAAAGTGATTGTTGGATTTAAATTTGCAAAAAGAACTGGTTAGAAGGAGAATGTAAACTCAATTTTAAACAATAATGGAATATTTAGGGACTTCCTGTAAAAGTGATTAGAAGACCCACCCACCACCACCAATGAATGACTTATAGTCTTACTTCTTTCTGTAGTCTTGTTTCTTACTTATCAGTTTCCCAAAAGGCATCCTCCATACACTAAGGTTCAATGTTTACCTAATAAGCTGGCACCAAGTACCAATCAACAACAAAACATCCAAAGTTATGTCAGTAGGTGAAAAAAAAGTTTCCAGAAACCTCTTCACAATTGATTACACACAAGCAGAAAATCTGTTAAAATGGAAGCATATTACATAGAGACACAGAAAGAATCTTTTTTTAAAGGTATTTTTAAGGTATTTTGGTCTTGGCTGATTTATGTAAAAAGTTTTAAGGGGGGCTGGGAAGGTGCCTCAGTGGTAGAGCGCTTTCCTTGCATGTCTGAGGCCCTGGGTTCAATTCCTCAGCACCACATAAGCAAAAAGAAAAAAGCCGAAATTGGCGCTGTGGCTCAAGTGCTAGCCTTGAGCTGAAAAGCTGAGGGACAGCGCCCAGGCCCAGAGTTCAGGCCCCACGACCGCCCCCCCCCCAAAAAGTTTTAAGGTATAGTTTCTATTAAGTGCTTAGAAAAACAAAATAGATTGTGTCCACAATGATTCCTAACCGATCACAGAAATCTGACAATACTTAGGTCACGCATAAACACTATTCCACCTCACAGTTTTCCTTAGCCAAGCCATACACAAACATGCTTCACGTGATACACAAGAAATTCAAGATGTAAGAGTGGCTTTAGTAGGAAACATCTCTAGAAGTAGCATGGTATATGTACAGATTATTTTTCTCATCATAATCCATCCTATTTGCTCTTCAAAACTTTAACACCAAAATGATTAAGGAAATTATCACAAGCATTTTATGTAAAAAGAATTCGGGAGAGAAATAGAGGAGGTGAGATTGACTGGAATACATTGTAAATATATAGAGAAAGGTGACAATGAAATTCCCCATCCTCTGTATAAGCTAAATTTCTTTTAATTTGAGACTATTTCCATTCAGAAATAACTGACTTAAGGAAAAAACATTTAATGTGCTTTACAAAATTATGTAACATTAAGATTTCAGAATTTATTTTATTCTATCTTTTTATAGATAGGAAACAGATGAAAATAAACCATTTGTCCTTAAGTATCTATGAGTTTAACCAGAAACTTAGTTCTACTGAATTTACTTAGTATTTGTTAACTTTTTTTGGGGGGGGCGGTCCGGTCGTGGGGCCTGAACTCTGGGCCTGGGCGCTGTCCCTCAGCTATTCAGCTCAAGGCTAGCACTTTACCACTTGAGCCACAGCGCCACTTCAGGCTTTTTTCTTTTTGCTTATGTGGTGCTGAGGAATCGAACCCAGGGCCTCAGGCATTCAAGGCAAGCGCTTTACCACTAAGCCACCTTCCCAGCCCCTTTGTTAACTTTTTGTAACAATGCTAAACTTACTATTGTACTATTAATTTGAATCTTTCTCTAAATAAATTGAACCCAAATAAAATGGACCTAGTTTTTAATGAGTATAGTCTTTTAAAACAACTAGAAGTACAACTCTTTCTATTCCCTCGCCTTACTTTTCTTACTTTCTTATCTATAGCTCTTTCTTTTTCTTTTGTTTTTTGTCAGTCATGGGTCTTGAACTCTGGGCCTGGGCACTATCCCTCAGCTCTTCAGCTCAAGGCTACAGTTCTAACACTTGAGCCACAGAGCCACTTCCGGTTTTCTGGTGTTCAACTGGAGATAAGAGTCTCATAGACTTTACTGCCCTGGCTGGCTTTGGAGTCGAGATTTTCAGATCTCAGCCTCCAGAGTAGTTAGGATTACAGGTGTGAGCCACCGAGGCCCAGCTATAGCTCATTCTTAAAAATGCTTTGAAGAGATTTCACAGAGCCAACAGAACACGTATTTTAAATACTTAAGAATAACCTGAACCACAGGAATGGAGGGAAGAAGGGAGTGCAAATATAGTCATTAGATTCAATGTACGTTATGTTAAAAATAAACTATGCAGCCGGGCGCTGGTGGCTCAGGCCTGTAATCCTAGCTACTCAGAAGGCTGAGATCGGAGGATCTTGATTCAAAGCCAGCCAGGGCAGGAAATGTCTGTGAGATTCCAATTAACCACCAGAAAACCAGAAGTGGCGCTGTGGCTCAAGTGGTAGAGCTCTAGCCTTGAGCTGAAGAGCTGAGGGACAGTGCCCAGTCCCAGAGTTCAAGCCCAATGACCAATAAATAAATAAACTATGTAACTTGAGGGCAGAGAAGGGAGGGGAGAAAGGGAGAAAAGGGGTGACAATGACCAAGAATCATTATACTCATAACTCAACTAATGGAATCATAAACACGTTGTACAATTACATCATCATCATCATAATGAGGAGGAGAAGTAGAAGACAACAACGAGGAAGGAGAAGGACGAGAAGGAAAAGCAGAAGCAGCAGCAGAGAAGCCAGGCATCTGTGGCTATCAAAAAAAAAGAAAGAAAAGAATAACCTGGGAGCCAAAGGCTAGTTTCAGCAATAGTTATTTAAGAAATTTTTACAGTTTTGTTTCTCAACAACTACCTCATGGAGCCTCAAATTCCCAAATGTGAACAATCGCAAATGGGAAAGATAATGAAGTCACTCCTGAGTATACACACACGTGCATGCACATGCATGCGCGTCCAAAATCTCTTAATTTCCATGAAATAAAATATCATTCTAAAGAGCTGCACCTCATAAAGCATACAAATGTTTTTTGATATTCCTTGATATTCCTATGTACTTTGGGGCCCAAAAGTAGGCTTCTTTACTATAGTCTAAGAAATTTTCTAAGCACATTTTTAAAGTGGCTTGCACCTATCATCCTATCTACTCACATGGCTAGCCAACATGACAGACAAATCCAAGACATTCTTATTAACCAGCAAAAAGTCAGAACTCAAGGCATGGCCCCAGCCATGGGACGGGACCAGGAGAGGCAAGTGAGAGCGAAAGGCCCTTAGTACTACCACCAGAAAAGAAAATGGAAAGAAATGTTTTAAATTGTAGTATCGGATAAGACAATATTAGTATGTTCCCTAGACTTGCATGAGAACATACTGCAGTGTCCCAAAGCTTTATAACACAACAGTTTCAACTTACTAATATTGCCCAGTATGCATTCATTCCCTCCAAGCAACTTTTTAAAACTTTTTTCCACTTAAATAACATGTATCCTTCCTTGTAGCCAGTCAATGGTTACTTTACGTTGTATTATTTAACAACAAAAATGAATAAAAAAAATTTCTGACTTTGTTCATTTCTGAAGATAAAAAAGTCAAAAGAATTCCCAAGGCTAGGGACATAGGTCAGTGGTAGACCATTTCCCGAACCAGTTTTTTTGGGGGAAAATACTGTGTTCAGTAAGTTATATATTTAGAATACAGTCTGAGTTATGAAACAGATAAGGGTTGGAAATATCAAACTTCCTGTCAGCACACAGATGATACTTAAAATCAGGGAGACTGTCTGGGATAGGGTCAGCAAGCTGTTAAGGGAATGCAGAAAGCCAGAAGCAGGGGTTTATAGCTACTCCCAAGATACACTGGCAGAGCTGAGCAGAAAGACAAGGACATCACACACCTACAACTCCCGTACATTACAACACTTAGAAGTGAAACAAAGCAGAGAAGCCAAGCAAAAGGCTCAGAAGGAACCGGAAGTGAGACAGGAAGAACTCCAAGCATATGTAGTGTCATGGGGATCAGGAGCAGGAAATACTTCAAGAGATAGCTTACTAGAGTATATACTGCTTTCAGGTTGCTTATTAGAATCAGTTTAAACAATAAGTGATATCTTGTGATTATTCAGCCTACCACTATACGCAAGCATGTACACACTAACTGGGTAATAAAGTCATCAAACATATTAAAGTTGAGGCAAACAAGTAACAAGGAAGTTTAATTAAACAAGTATGCAGTAACAAATCTTGTCTGTACTTCTTAAATATGGATTATTTTAAAAATTCATGTGAAATATATAATCAACTCTATAAAATAACTTAAAAATAATTGATTTAATCCAAAATTAAATCTTTTACTGTGATTTTTTTAATTCTTATAAAAATAGATCTTCTAGGGATAATCTAACAAGAAGTATAAGGACACAGGGAAGCACATAAGAAAAACAATAAAACAGAGGCTGGGAAGGTGGCTCAGTGGTAGAGCACTTGCCTTGCATGCGTGAGGCCCTGGGTTCAATTCCTCAGTACCACATAAACAAGAAGAAAAAAGCCAGAAGTGGCGCTGTGGCTCAAATGGTAGAGCGCTAACCTTGAGCTGAAGAGCTGAGGGACAGTGACCAGGCCCAGAGTTCAGGCCCACAACCAGACCCCCCCAAAAAAAAACAATAAAACAATCTCTTCTAGTTATAAAGCACTTACCCAGCTATAGAATTGAATACACAATTATATGTAAACACATATTTCTCAAATTGACTTTTCCCCCCTCTTTAACTAGACAGTTAAGTCACCTAGTGGTTACCTTAATTTCTCTGCCTTCCTGTAAGTCATCTAGTGGTTACCTTCATTTAATCTCTACCAACCCAACTATTAGAATTATCAGAAAAAAAAACATTCAGAACAGTTATTTAAAAATCTGTTAAAATATAAGACTAAGGTAATCATAACAAAATAAATCTTATAGCTATTAAACTATTTTATTTCAAGGGACAGTCTCCAGATAGCTCACCAAGAAGCAGTTATATGGAAGTTGGCACAAAGTGACAGGGGAATAAATAGTGTAATGGCACAGTAAATGGGAAGAATGCTGGACTGAAATCACAGGCCTGTACCACAAGGGAAATGAACCAGACATATGGATTTGCTCAGCTTCTGTTTGCACATTTTATTCTTGTTTGCTTGAGCAATGTTGGGGGGACAAGTAGGAGTAAGTAGGAGTTAGGGATATTTCTATATGTAATTTCTATCACCTGCAGATAAGTAGTACTTTACCAGGTCTTGAAGATGACACAATATAATCACTAATAGTACCAGAAGTGACTATTTTGTGGTCATATTCTCTCATCAGCACAATATAAAAGTTTCAAGAACTCGCAAGGCACTCACAGCCATAAATCCCAGCTACTCAGGAGGCTGAGAAGCCAGCCCAGTTTGTGGTTCAAGGCTAGCCTGGCCAAGAAAGCCCATGAAATTCTTCTCCAATTAACTATCCCCCTCCCCCAAAACAGTTGTAAGTGACTCAAGTGGTAGAGTGCTAGCCTTGAACTAGAAAAACTCAGGGACAGTGCCCAAACCAGATCAAACCCCAGGAGCAGTGCGCACACCCACACACATTTATACACAGTTCCAAGAACAAAAGTTTTTAAATAAAATATGGTTTAAATTCTAGACCTGTCCTTACAGGTATTGGCTTACTTTGGATTTGGGTTTTTAGGCTTTGTTTTGTTTTTGAGCACTGTACTGAAGCCTCTCTAGCAAACATTCTACCACAGAAGCAACACCTCAGTCCTTTTGTACTTTTATTTTCTCAGATAGTGTTCATGCTTTGCAAGGACAGTCCTCAGACCTATATCCTCCTACCTCTGCCTCCTGAGTTGGTGGAATTACAAGCCAGCATCACTAAGCACCACCAGTGCCAGACGGTCTTAACTTCCAATTATGTTCCTTGGTCTGTAAAACAACTATATTTAATGTATGTTTGTATACTATTGTGGCACAGAGTAAGAGCTCAACAAAGAATGACTATTAAGATAAAAGTCTAGGAAGTGGAAATGTGGCTCAAAGTGGAGATGTGTGCTGACAAAATGCCAACTTAGAGCAAAAAAGCCAAGTGAGAGCATGAGGTCCTAAGTTCAAGCCCCAGTTCCAGTACAAAAGAAAAAAAATGGTAAAAGCCTACTTTAATGCACAAACACAGCATTATAGATAAATAAGTGAGTATTCAAGAGAATGAAATCATTTCAAAAGCTAAAAAGAGAAGGATAGAACCTATCAGATAGAGCAAGACCAGAGATGAAGGTTGACATAGATAATACAGTTGACCTGACCTAGGAGGAACAGTTTGGAATAGACTGAGAAGCAATCAATGATAATCCCTTTGCCATGGAACTAACCTTCTGATAAAGAACATTTCAGGATGTTAGGACAAATGCAAAATTCTATTGAAAAGCCAACTATTAAGCCATGTAGTCGTGGTTCACACTTACTACCCTGGCTACTCAAGAGACTGAGTTCAAGGTACAAAGCTAGCCCAGGCAGAAAAGCCCATAGACACTATCTCCAAGGTAACCAGTAAAAACCAGGCTGAAGACACTGCTGAAGTGTCAGAGCACCGGCAACCCATGAGCAAGGCAAGCAAGTATGAGGTCCTAAGTTCAAACCCTGATGCCAAGAGAAAAAAAAGTGAACGACACATTACACACAAAGGTGACATTTAAAACAGGTTTCTCTGCAATGAGTTCCCACATGAGGGAACACAAGCACTCAAGGTTGTACTGTTAAGCATACCAAATATGATTTTGTGCTTGTTTAATACCTCTGGCACTTCTGTATTTAAACAAAAGAAGATCAATCATTAATAAGAGTCATACTGTCCAACAATATTTGTGTCAGTATGCCAAATGGTAAACTAGAGCAAACTAAGATCATTTTCTTTAGCGTGTTTGGGGTTTAGTGCTGACTACTTGTTACAGGCATAACATCAAGCCACATTCTGTAAGGGAGATTATATGATTCTTAAAATACATCCAACTGTCACTTGAATGAATGACTCAATCAACAAGGATAGGTCTTTCAGAAGCAATTATCACTTATCCCTTTAAGGAAAAGGTTTCTAGAATATAGAATCTTTCTGTTCTCATTCAATAGTTGGTTTAACCTGGCTTCTTCCTTTTTATTGCCAACGTTTTTTTTTCCTGTAAGTGAACATGACACAGGATGTCTGAATCACATCAGAACTCAGTAACAGGAATTGCAGGAACAAGGAAGTGTGGAAATATTATCTGTTCTTGGAGGCTCAATCTATTATTTTCCTTCCCAATAGAAAGATAAATGTTCTAAAGGAGTCATCTGGATTTAAGTCAAGCCATCACATTTCCATGTCCGGCACATTGATTTCCCAGACAGTACCGGCTGTGTTGCCTTAGACACAGATTGTGTAACGTCCTAACAGCCTCACGATTTCGACTGGTCTCTAAAGTTCTTCAGCTAGTTCCAGAAAGTCAGTCTCTTGAGTAGATTAAATTTACCTTTTCCAGAGCAAACCATCATTAGAGATGAAGGGCAACTATGTAACCCTATTCCCTGCGGCATGGGAAAATGACAGAGCAGTCAGATTAGTGTTTGGGGAGCTGCACTTTTAAATCTACCTATCTGATGAACACTTAAAAGATAAAAACTCCAGTTGTAGGTCTCTAGAGCACACAAGTGACTTAAGGAAAACAGTAAAAAAAAAAAAAAGTTCATTTTCTTTCCTTCACACTGATGCTCCTAAATTCTGCTTATTACTCTTATCTTCTTTTCTTTAAGGAAATACCTGTGCGTTCGTAACTTAGTTGACACCCAAACCTCACACTCAGGCCTCTTCCTCCACCTCCTTGCGCGTTCTCTATAATGCCCTGCCCAGATCTCATCACCTGCCCAGGAGCTCTCAAGTTCTTCCATTCAGCATCTCTCCTCACTTCATTCGCTCCCCGAACACCTCCTCCTGTCACTTCCTCCCCAGGAGCCTAACAGTCTATGGAATGAAAGACAAAGAATCCATGGCTTCTTGCCACGGGCTCAGTGCCGTTTTCGTACTTGGAAAAATCCCCTGTGGAATCCAAACGTGGGGAGGGCCACGTTTTGTTAAGTCTGAGGATCGGGGCTCACACACCTCATCCCAGGCCTTTTCTAAAATCAGTAGGGATCCAGCTCCCTTTCGGTCTACTGGAAGTCTCGACACTTTTCACAAGCCCGATTCAAATGACCCTCCATCCCCAACCGCTCCACACACTCATGATCGGCGTCCCCAGCCCCACCAAGGCACCCCGCCGTGTCACCCAACGGTAGAGGCTGCAAAAAGCACGGACCAGCCCCGACCCCAATTTCCCCGTGACTGCCCCGTGACCTTGGGCAAACCGGCTCAGGGCGGGCGAACCTCCCCTTCCTCTCCGCGCGGCGGCGGCGGCGCACGGCTGCCTCCCATCCCGCCCGAGTCCTTCCAAGGTTCGGAGGAGTCTTCCCCGCGTTCAAAACACCCACGAGTCCCATCTCAACATCCAGCCGGGGCTCAGTAACGCCCAGCTCCCGGCCTGGAAGGCGCCGGCCCGGCGAG